CTCTCTTCTAGAAAAAGTTTTCCGGCTCACTCATGCAAGATACTTATTATTTTATTTTTAATTTGTCTTAGCCATTCCACAATCGCTGTTTCAGTTGTCGTACATGTAACAGAAAATTAGATGCAATGACTTTAGCCGAACATAAAGGAGAAATTTATTGTAAAGGTTAGTCATTATATTTTAATTTTTCAAGTAAAGTGAAACTTGTGATACATCTAGCGTTTACTTCTCTAGTAAGTGCATAGTGTTTTATAAGTCGTAACTTCACTTGAACTGAGAATGATTTCTTGCTTCAAGTAAAGCAGTATTTTGCATGATCATTTCTTCTCTCATTTCAGGATGTTACACACGTCAGTATGGTGTTCATGGAGTGGCAAGCGGTGTTACGATGTCAACGGAAAGTACTTCGACAAATTCATCTGCTCGTCATTCTCGCCGTTCATCGTATGGCAATGATTTAAATGATATGTATACACCAACACCTCAAAATCAAAATATACGTCAACGTAGTCATTCGAATGAAGGTTTAGTCGATGGAGGAAATCACCATTTTCCATGGAAAGATGTTGTTATACCTAAAAACAACAACAATCTCTATCCGGAAGTTCCACACGGCAATAAAACATCTTCGAACCATGATCAACAACAAACATGGTATGGAAATGAAACAAATTCTAGACAATTACAACCAACCTTCGAAACCGGACATCCGACAGCCTTTCAACCAGTTCATCAAAAATATGACGGACTCGAAGCAATCATTAACTATCATGGTGAGAATTTGAGAAGCAAAGGTTAAGAGACTGAATCCTTATGATGGAAAAAATTTTTCCTTCTAGGTAAACCGATGAAAACGTTATCCAGAGATATTGGCTTCTCGAGGATTGCGCCTACCCAATTTCCTCAACCGCCTGCACAGTTTTCTCAAATACCAGTATCTACTCGACGTCAACATAGTCGTGATTCATCCGTTAGCGAAGATGCATCTGAAGATATCGCTAATTACATTTACAATGGCGAAAAAAAACAAACGCCAAAATCACCTGGCACCTCAAATTTAATTGAAACTCCTGTGACACCAAAAGCCGATCGACATTTGCACACAGATGGAGTTAGTGAACTAATATCACCCAATAAATCAGCAACAAAAATAACAGAATCACCATATCATGATCGAAGTAGAAGTCCCTCACCCGTTAATTATAACCGACAAACCAGTAGAGAAAGACAAATTGAAATTAATACAGGTATGTCTTCTAATTTACCTGCCGTAACTTATAGATATTATTTATTCGTTTGATCATTATATCTTCAAAGCCTTATACTTATTCATTGTTTTTTCATTTAGATAATTCTGCTCGTTTGTCTGCTAATGATCATTCAAAAACAAATTTTGCCAATGAAAATTTCGGTATATCCGGTGGATCTTCAAAAACCCATTATAGTGAAATAAGTCATAATTCAAGCTATCATTCATCATCATCTCATGCAAGTGACACAAAACAATATGGTAATAGCACTACCAATACAACATATCAAAATTTAAGAGATTCATCACCCATTAAGTACGATCGATATGGCAGTAGTGAAAAACCAAGAGAATCTTCATCAGTTAAACATAATACTACTTCAACAACATATGATCGTTCTCCTTCACCTCATAATGAATTATCCCCTCGAAATTCCTCTTACAGCTATGTTGAACAAACAAAAACAACGTCAACTACCAGTCCTGGTGCTGGACACTACGATAAACCACGTTCACCTTCGCCATTTAGTGCATCACAAACACCAGCAACAAATTATAATAATTATGCTGGAACAGTGAACAATAATACACATGATTATGTAAATGTAAGTCTAAATTAATATAGAAAAATTGAGCAACTAAAAAACATGAGATTTCTGTAAGACTATAAACTATTTTATAGTGAGTTCGCCAAAATTCACAGGACATGAATAATTTTAACATAACTTTTTGTTTCCTATTTTAGGTAACCACACCAGTTACTGATCGTCCATCAGTTACTCGTTTATCTCCATCTACCTCAACAGCATCAACCTCTCGCGGCCCATCTGGCTCGGCTTTAGGCAACTTCATGGCAACGACACATGATATGGCTTCGAATATATCATCATCACCTTTAGGAGGACCAGCTAAAAACTCGACAATAGCAGCGTTGATCAAACCTCATCGACCAATTTCACGTCAAAGTGATGATGAATTTGAAGAGTAGACAAAAAAAGGAAATAATCTCTATCTATTATTATTAATGATCCCTCTTTTCAACCCTTCTATAAGTCATATACCTTTCTTTTCCTTATACTTTTGCCGTTGGAACATTTTTTTTCATATATTTATCATTAGTATAACATCTCTTTGTTAAATTTTTTTCTCATAAAAATGAAAACTAGCAATATCCTCGTTGTTTGTCTTCTACTGTCTCATTGTGCAATTTCTTTTTTCGATTTCTAAATGCATTCGTTCGTTCGTTGCTATTTTTTTTATTCATTTTTACTTTTCATGTTATGTTATATTTAATAAAAATTATGACAAACAAATTCAATTAAAACGAGGAAATTACAATAATATTGTAAATGTTATTCTTGCACTTAATCTTCTATAAAAATCTGTATTCCAACGATGTTTACAATTGTTTAAGAAATTTTACTAAAAATAGTACAATTGAAATTCATTCAAAGTCGCAATAAAATAGTATCAGCTATTTACTAACATGTATCCACTGAATATCATACACGTTCGTTCTCGATATTACTGAACTGGAGCCCTGCAGGTTGCCACTTTTCGGCAACCTATAACCTAACCTATAAAAAATTTCACAACCTAATCCTAACCTACCCTGTGATTTTTTGTTTTCAATTCACAGACGTTACATGCTTAGAGATATAAGATTGAATCTTAAAATAGATTGCGAATCATATAATATAATACTTTTTTGTCTGAGTACATGGTAGTTCTTGTAATCAAGAAAAAAAGTGTCTAACTGACTCTTTCTCCTCCCAGTCATACAGGTCACTTGTAACAAGGTTTCTTTTGAAAAGTGCTTCATTAAGAGGCGGACGATTTTATCGTTTTGAAGAGATAAGTTGAACAGGTAAGTTAGGGGAAAATATAGGACTAGGCATGCACTGAGTAATTGACTAAGGATTTTATATTTTTTCAAAAACCTGACGTTTCGTTAGTTACTTCGTTAAGAATTTTCTGACTCGGTAAGAATATAGAGCAAACATTTCTCTATAAAATGAGAGATTGAACAGCTCTGCATGATTTGTTTTAAGATTTTGGTAGCGATACCTCAAGAACACATAATCGAGTAGTAAACGAGTATTGAGTGCTTGATTAGTCTTTTATGGGATATTACTGCCGAAATCTCAAAACAAATCATGCAGAGTTGTCCAACCTCTCATTTTATAGAGAAATGTTTGCTCTATATTCTTACCGAGTTAGAAAATTCTTAACGAAGTAACTAACGAAACGTCAGGTTTTTGAAAAAATATAAAATCCTTAGTCAATTACTCAGTGCATGCCTAGTCCTATATTTTCCCCTAACTTACCTGTTCAACTTATCTCTTCAAAACGATAAAATCGTCCGCCTCTTAATGAAGCACTTTTCAAAAGAAACCTTGTTACAAGTGACCTGTATGACTGGGAGGAGAAAGAGTCAGTTAGACACTTTTTTTCTTGATTACAAGAACTACCATGTACTCAGACAAAAAAGTATTATATTATATGATTCGCAATCTATTTTAAGATCCAATCTTATATCGCCAGGCGTGATTCTGCTACCTAGTCACTATCTGATCACAAGCAAACTATAATGTATAAAACCATCACAAATTTGATCAGTGAAATACAAAGATTTTTAGAAATTTGCCTTTTTATTTTACACAAGTTACTTTGCCTTTTGCCTTTTCTGATTTTTTATGTTGTCCATTAATTGTCGATTTTTACTTATTGTGGATGCTGTAATGATTCGATTGCTCTCCATATTAAAAACTATGTTTAGATCAACTATGAATCATTAAAATCAATTTTCCGTCACAGAAGAGCAGATTAATGTCTAATGTCTCTTCATCAATTTTTAATGAATAGGTACTATTGATTCTGAAGCTAAACATGTCTTTGTCTTATTCTAATGGTCACTCGGGGTTATTATCGCTCAATTTTCAACATTGCATTCGTTTTTGATTTTTTTTTCTTCTACTTATTCTGCCATAGGGAAAGAAAACAAAAAAATATAGCATAAAAAACTGCGATAAAAAACAAAAATAAACAAAAAAATGTACAGGACTGAACTCAGCAAACAAACAAAAACTGAAAAAAAGTTCTTTATTACCATCTTTGGTGTGTTTATAGAGATATTTCTTCACATTACTATTCGATACTGATCTTTCTTCCAAAGACAAAAGCCCATCTTTAAAATTCTTTGTTTTTTTGACTACAATAGAATAGAATTGACGGAATTGTATTGCCAATAAAAACACAATTCTTGTAAATCTATAAATTAAGAGCACTTGACTATGGGCCAAAACAAAATGATTACCTAAGTAAATATTTAGCAAACAGAGCCATTTTGTTCATTTAGTTACATTGATACAGAAACGTTTATTCATTGCTATACTAAATAGAAAAAATAATGTGCCCAAACAAAATAAGTTAATCAACATATGAGAGCACTTGACGGTTTTGATCATTCTGTTTGAGATGAAATACTTATTCTAACTCGAAAATATAATAAAAAGTGTTAGAACATCAATCTTCATATCATTTTTTAATAACAATGTCACAATTAAATAAAACACCAGACTGAGAAAACAGAAAATGGACAAAAATTTGGTACATTGTTTTTTTTAAACTACTTATGTCTACTTGATTGATAGATTGTATTGTTGTCGTTTGTAATGAAGATGGTGTAGTTGGAGTTTGTGTTGTTGATGGATAAATGACAGAGCAGCAATGTTTTCTTATCCGTTTGGGTTTATAAAGAAGATGAAGAAATGGTAATTGCTTGTTGCTGTTTGGCGAGTAAAGCTCGAACGTATTGCGTAAAATCAAATTTATTAGTTGGCTCTGAGTGAGATTTTGTTAATTCATTTTGAAAACGATTATTTAGATCATTTGCCGTACATAGTAGACGAATGTTATTTTGAGATAATAGTTGATTGATCTCTTTGACAGATGTTAATTTAGGTGCCGAAATGGGAGTAGTAGTAGACGGTGATAATGCTATAACTGAAGACGTTGAGAGAGTTGTTGAACGTTGTGTTGATGAACGTTTTGATAGATTTTCATTATTAATCGCTATTGGTGCTTCTTTCAAACGAGTATACGAATGATCATGATAAATAGTTAAAGTGGCTGGATCACGTATATTATGATTATTATATATCTGAACTAAAGATGAGCGAGGCTGAACGAAAAAAAAACAGAAACTTGTAAATTGATGATGAGACATCTCTTAATTAAAATTGAACGAAATATTCTTTGAGGCGCAACTATTTTCAAGCTTGTAATATCTTAATTTGAAATAAGCATTAATCAGATCGTTTCTGTTTCTTGCTGCTCAACAATGTCTAAACACACTCCATTACTTAATTCAAGTTCTCGCTGTATTTTTTATTTGAATTCAAGCGTAAAAACCTACACTGAAGGATTAATCATAGAATATCGCTCGAAAGTAATTCCATCTACATATTTTGAAACTATCGTCAATCATTCTCTCATTGGCTTCTAACCAGTTTTTGCGACTTGTATGATTTAAAAACTCTTACTCGTTTTGTCGTTGTTGGAGGCTTATAATCCATTTCATCGTCATCGCTTAAACCGGTTGATTGTCGATAGTTTCTTGTTTTTGAGAAACGACTTGACGTTCTAGTTGTGTTATTATTATCATCTGCAGTTATTTGAGTATATTCAAAAGCATTTGTTGATCGTTGACATTTCGATGGATTTATATCGTCCATGTCATCGACTTGAGATGTTTGAGGTTGATATTCAGACCAAATTTCTTTGGAATATTTTAGTAAACGATTAGATATACGCCCAAGTACTAAAAGAAAACACATATTTTAGAAGGTTAACAAATAGTATTCGTATCTTCAAGCTAACATTTCACACAAATGTCGAATAACTATTTATCCAAAACTGTAAGAAACTGTTGCTGTTATTTATTAGGAAATGAAGGACATTTACAAACATGTATTCGGTGTCAGTGCTAACCGAAATCAATGGGCACAGTGGGTGGAATAGATAGAGACGCAAAATGGTCTATAATCACTATTACTATCTATTTACACGTACCACTCCGTTTTCCATTATATTTTTTACAATTTTCTACCATCAATTCAATATCTGAAAGAAATTCGTTTGAATTATTTACATAACACTGATGATTAATCTTTGTTTGAATAGTTGACAAATCAATGGGTTTCTAAAATAGTAGAAAACAAGTACTTCTTTAAAAATAAACATTTATCAAAAAACTTACTTCAATAACACTAAAATAAAGTGGTGCTATTTCTTCTGTAACCGGTTCTAGAAATGGCCAACTATTTTCATATGTACGTAACATATTCAAAACTAAAACAGAAAGAGCTAAACATTTTAAAGGGTATAAAAATATCTCACGAGTCCATTATATACTTTAATTCCTCGAAAATTTCACGAATTTATCAATCCTCTTGACCTTCATAAACGAAAAATGCAACGCTTGGGAACTTAATCATTATGGATAACAGTTATTTTCAAGTAAAAGATATTTTCGATGGATCATCTTCTTTGTGTGATCTAATGAGCAATGATGTGATGTTCTTGTCGAAAATCGCTTTTAGATAAAACCTTTTAACCAAATGTTTTTCGGTCAAAGCTTATTGTTTTCTATAGGTACAATTTTGCAAGCTAATCTCGAACCGAGGAAACTCATTAGACTGAACCCGTTCTATTTAAGACAAATACACGTAATAAAAAATAATTTTTGTATATTTCTCTCATGGAATGTAGGAAAATTTTTGGTTTCTATGTTACTTAAGGGTGGGACTCATTCACAGTGTAACGTAAATTTTTATTAAAACTCAAAGAGGCAGCATTAATCTGTTCTAAAGTGTAATGAGCACACCTTTTTGATAAATATCATTTGTCTTATTTGTTGATAATATTCCTGCATTATTAGACGTTGATCCTGACATTTGAGATAAATTTTCGTCTTTTGTTAAGAAATTAGAATTTTCCGAACTTGTTCCATTAATGGCGACTGTTGGCATCGAAGATACACTATTCTCAGAATTAAATTCATTCAAATCATCAAAACTTGTCGAAGACGAATCCAATAAATGATTTCCATTTAACACGGCTGCACGACGACGAATACGAGAGGCACGTTCTTAAAGAGTTAATTTAACAGAAAATATATTAAAAAAACATGTAGAAATTCAGCCACCGGAAAGGACGATTTTAAAATCTTTAATTATGTCTTACCTTCTCGTTTTTTGACTTGATCCTGCCGTTCTAAGCGTTCTTTTTCTTGGGCAATTATCATTTCTTGTTTTCTCTTGTATTCGAAAAACTTTTCATTTCTCTCTTTTTGTTCAGCATCAAATTGTTCTTTTTGTATTCGTGTTTGTCTTTTTGTTTCGAGTCGAGTGGACGATCGTTTAGGTCCATACTTAGCAAATAAATCTGATGAACGTTTTTGTGTTTCACGTTCTTTTCTTGAGTAAATATCAGGTAGTTCTTGAATAAGTAAAAGTAATGTTTGTAGTAAACGTTTATCTTGAACTTTTGTCGATTGTTTATACACAGAAATGAATATTTCCCATTCATCTAATGTACGACATACACATCCCCATGATGTTATCCTAGAGTTAAAACAGGTGCAATTTAGAATCAGAGGTAAAACTGCCAGAAATGTTAGAGGCAGGGAATAAACAATGCACTAAAAAACATTCACTTATTTCAGAATAGTATTCCACTTATATCGCTCTCATTTTCATGTGATAGAAAGTATTTTGTAACCTATCAATGAAAACAAACGTCTCGTTTTAGTGCATGGCACTTTTTTTCTTCCTTCCGCACTAAGGTTGCCAACTCTTCTGATTTTGGAGGTTTTTTCTGATCGCTTTCTGATTTTTAACTTTTTTAATTAGTAGTGGAGAACACGGTTTCTGGAGAAAAGGCTGACGTAATATCTTCATGAATGTCTACACTACTTGAGTTATTAGTTGAATTGGATGTTCTCAACTCCCATCATAACATATTATCTTCATGAACAAGAGGGTTGTTGGTAATAAACTTGCAAATGACCAGTTTGGAACACAAATAATACGTTTTAGATTAGCTCGTTTCTCAGATGTGATGGCATTATCAACTGACGTTGTGCGAGCTAAAGCTCTCTTAGGTAGTGGCGTAGTTAAGGAAGGACCTAGAGGCCCCCGCGGGCGGGGGGGGGGGGGGGGGGGGGGGGGGGGGGGGGGGGGGGGGGGGGGGGGGGGGGGGGGGGGGGG